CTTTAACTCCATCTCTGAGTGTCTTTCACATCCGGAAGAGACATTTTTAATGACATTCTTCGTCCTCTATGTTTAATGTAGTGGAAATACTTATGTTCCCAATTTTTGTCTCAGTAGTTCCCTGGTGATGACAATAGCAGGGGAGGAGGGTGACACACTTACCCTAGATGAGAGTATCTGTCTCCGTGGGAGAACATTGCTACCTGGCTTTGTGTGGGTGGTACTCCACTAGGGCGGCATGAGAAAAGTGAAGCTGATAACCTTATTTAACCAAATCTGCAAGGCTGGGTATTAACATTTCATCACTTGTCACCAGCAGCTGACATACTTGAACAGCAAAGGTGGTTTTTCCATGTATCATGCAAACAAAGGTAACCAAAGTTTTTCTTCTAAAGAGATAGAATTTGTTACACAATGGGTCCATTAACTAGGGTAACATGCCCTTCCGCAATAACATGAGTGATTATTGCATAACTAAGGTAAATCTGGACAGATTTTAGTATTCATCCCTCTAAAAGGAAAGGAGAAACCAATTTTAGCTTCTTTTAGATTTCACATATTTTCCAGATATTTTTTAGCTTCACCTCCAAAATGTTCATGTTTTGCTCCTCCCTTACTTTTTCTAAACTGTCACTCAAACTCTCAGAATACAGGGGAAAAAGACCATTCTGGGAGAGTTTTTAGCACGACTAACCTTACGAGAAAAACATAAAGGTATTCTGCTTTACAAATCATCCCAAATAATCCAGTGTATAATAGAATCTGTAGGATGATGCTACAACATGGTCACACAGCAAATTTGGAAGGTTTATTCCAAGCAGATTTCTCAAACTCCGATGTTTTCTTGCCTGTGTTTAACATGTATGTTTTACAGATAAACGAGGTACACTCCCAATAATTTCACTGTGTGCTTGTGATATTGCATTGTGTCTACTGATTAGAATGCTAAATGCAGGAAATAAAATGATCACCATTATTGGCACTTTTGTTAATTGAATGGAACCTCTGATTTTTCCAAGTTTGCATAAACCTGACTTTGTCTTATTATGAGCTCATTTTCAGATTAAACACAGTTCATGACACTTTAATGTGTTAACTCTGTTTCATGATATTTCCTACTAGTGTTTAATTTCTTCTTTAATAGAACAGAGACTCTATGTCTACACAAGTCTTTAATAAAAAGTTTTCAAATTCCAAAGACACTACCTTGACCTTTACTGAAATCAAAAGTACAAAAAAAATTAGGATATTCATTCCAAAAGGTCCTTTTAAAAGTGAAATTTCCCCCAATAAAAGGTCACACTTTATTATCTATAAAATTAATACTGTGTCCATCAATTTTGATCTTACACATTGTTTCAATTATGTTTGGGAATGTACAGAAATTGTTTAGATCAGAAGTAACATAATTGATATGTAACTACCTTTCTCTGCAGTTATTTTGATAATGCTGAAAAATAATACCATAAAGTTCAAAGAGAATATCATAAACAATAAAATTGTTTCCTGCAGTGGAATGACTTCATTTTCTATGGTCCGTTCATGGTTACTGTCCTACCGGTAAAGAATAGTTCTGTGATTTACTGAAAATAGATAAAGATGTGATGGATTTATGCAAGAACTACAAAGCATGAAGTTCCTGGTTTTCCTTCTGACAGAAATCTTCAACATTTTACAAATAAGAAAAACACCCTGGCACTTGCCCCCTGCACTGAAGCGTAATAATGAGAAGCCAGTGCCTGCTGAATCCAGTGACAGATTCTCTGTTGACATCAGTGAAGGGTTATGAAAAAAGTATCACTGTGAGTTTTGTTTTCAGCTGTCTTCACTCTTCATCCAACACACCACACAAATGTAAGGTCATTTTAAAAAGAGGTGATCATGGAATATGATGGGACAACAGTATCTTTTCTGTAATTATATAAAGTCTATATGCTATGAGTACTAATAGAATATAATATGTTTATTTACTCTTTTAGTGTATAAGGGTCCTTATATACTAAAGGACCTTGGCCAAGGTCCTTCAGCAAGGTCTAAGTTCCGAGGATTTATTTGATTTTAGAACCATACCTTATTGTAAATACTGTTAAAAATCAGTGCACAGCTCACAGACACCCCTCCACAGTAAGCACCGTGTTTGCTGTCCCTTATACTGACAGTTACCAATGTTATCACTGCTGAAACTCCCACTAGTGCTGTCAGAAACTGAACCTGAGGGAAGATGGATTAGGCAATAGTGATGTGTCTGCACAGCCATGCAGACCTCTGAGCAGCCTCGCAAGCACCAGTGTGGTGCTGGGCCGGGATGGAGGGGCTCTGTGTTATGCTTGGAGCTGCGCTGGGCACCAGTTCACAGCGCTGTACTGTGCAGTGCACATTGCCTCAGCTCTTCCATATTCTCCAGTTAAGAAAAGGAATGTCTATGGCAGCTCAGGCTTCCTCAGTGCATCTGCCAACACATCTCAGATTTAACTTAGAGATAAGATGACAGGCCAAAGGAAATAATCACCTACACTGAATGCTTTTGTAAAATGTTCTCTCTGATTAAGTATGGGGTTTTTTTCCTCTCCTCCCTTTTTGCCCCAAGTCTGTTAGCCCAACCAAATGACTTGCTTTAATGGAAACAGCTCTGAATTTTCAATTTACCACCCTATCTATCTCATTTGACAATTCTGAATCTTGCCTTTGGCTGCCCTCTTGCATAAAAGTCCTAACCATATTCACTGGTATTAGATAGGCTACACTGACTAACCCGAAGAAAGAGATTTGCAGTTTGTGGATAATGCTGTTTTAAAGAGAATGCATAGACTTACATTCAATATTATTTTTTTTTTTTCCTTTTTAAGTTAACATAACCCTCTTTAAAAGTCCTGAAAGAATTCTGTATTCATTTCATATTATTCTACCACAATTTGGCTTGTCATCTAATGTAATATCCCTTTTCAAGATGAACATTAGGTACGATGACCAGAAAAATGAAGTGGGTTTCAGAGATTTGCTAGTTAGTGTTATCAGTGGCCTGGAAATAAGCTGGGAACACCTTCCAGGGGTATTATCATCAGTCCTATTCATAACTGCAGGGGACAAAACAGACCCTCAAACCTACTCGCTGAAATAAATTATAAAACTTCCTTGGCTGCTTTAGCCACAGAGTCTAGACTGAGACTTCAGTCTGGCAGCACCTACGTGCAAAGACAGTGTCGTTCCCTCTGCCAACGGGAGAAACAAACCGCAAGTGGACAGTGTGTGACCAGAGGCGAGTGTCTGTGTATGGCTGAGGTCGGGGCCCAGAGGAGCTCCTGCTCCTCTCAACTCCCACAAATTCCACTCTTATGTATTTATACAGACCAGCAGATAATTTTTCCAGTTACCAACCAGCCTCTGAGTTTAATGCATTTCACAAGCTGTTTAGTAATTAATCCAGGGGTGATACAGACCACAAGGTTAATACCAGCTATTTAAGTTCTGCTATTTATTGCCACTTCCACATGTGGCTGAGCTACATACAGTGAAGTAGCACAATCCTCCTGAATGAGCATTATTAACACCTTAGCATGACAATACTAAATGCACACATGTGGTTTCTAATTACTTCATTCAAACAAGTCAATAATGTTGGAGTAAATTAGCTCCTGTGCTAACTGTACTGCAGAATTACAAATAAACACAGTAACAGCAGCTTGACTCAGACACTGACTCAGTGCCTGACTGAACAGGATTCCTTTTCTCTAACCCAGGTTAAATCTTGCTCTGCTGTCCAATGCACAGACACTATTCCCTTCTCTTATCTTTCCAGAATGGGAAAAATTCTGGGAATTAATAGGGGTCACCTAGCAGTGAGGTTCTTGGCTTAGAACAGATGAGCAGTGCGTGTTACTGCCCTAAGTGCAACATAAAGGTATACCCCAAATTCCGCTTTCATTCAGACTGGTTCCATCTATCCTCTTTAAGGATATTTGACTCCACTTTTAAAACATATGCGACTTTTTCCTTTTGATAGACCCTCAATAATATCGTCCTGAATTTTCACTTTCATTGTAAGATGGCATTTTCCAGTGTAGCAGATTTTAAGATGCATTTAAAAAAAAAATCTTTATCCAATGGCAAGTAAAAGGCAGAAATAAGTTTACTGCTCCATTTTCCCATGGAAATTTCCTAAGAAAAATATGTATATGAATATATAAAGAAATCATCATCTCAGCAGATTTTTTTTTTCTTTTATACTTAAGGCAATATTTTCTTTTTCCTGTCAGGCCCTGCAAACGTTCCCTGAGTCATGTGGTTACAAAAATGTCGAATTACCCTCCTAAAAAGAAAATTTTACAATTCATCACCAGGGCTAAACCAGCTGCAGCTGTGAAAAAGCGTTAGCTGCTATATTACAGACAAATCTTTTATTTATTTTGTGCCTTTAGCTCTGGGGATTTAGAATGCTCATGATTTTCTCTTTCTTTCTCTGCTCCAAAGTCAGTCACTGAATTTTTAACTGGATAGTTTAATTTTGATTATATTTGACAGAAGGAACTTTAATCCACGCAATATGTAAAAAATACTGCTTTTTAACAAGGGTTTTTACTTATGTTTTTATTGTCACTGTCATTGTATTGAATAGAATAGAATTCAGCATATCAGGGATGAGTTGTTATTGGTATTTAGGTGCCTTAGGCTTACTAACTGCTCAAATATTATGAAGAAATTAACTCTGATAAAGATGATTTATTACTTTCCAAGAATGTTCATAGACTATTTGCAATCTAGCATTAAGATCTCAGTGTAGGAATAAATGTTTGAGGCGTAACCTTAAATCAAAGCTGTTCTAAGTTTGAAGTTTTAAGTTAATTCCTTGATTTTTTGTTTCTCACAATGATCTCTAATACCTTTAGGTGAGCACCTAGCAAAGTGTATGCTTAACTTTACACGTGCACCTTTCTGAACAGAAAATTTCAAGCAGAGAAAAAAGTTATCTACTTTAATGAATATGATTCATAATAGTTACTCACCGCTGTCTATTGCCAGAAAGAGAGCAGTGTATATGTTGTTCTGAACATAAGGAGATTCCCGATCCAGGATAGCAGTAGTGCCAATGGTACCATTTGTAGGGTTAATTTCTAGCCAGTTTGCTGGATCCTTGTAAACCGAATACCTAAATAAAAATATCGAAGTTGTTAACAAATTATGTATCTAGACATAAAACAATTGCATTACTACAAACAAATATGTCTTTGCACTCATGGGGTGGATCTCTTAATACTTAAAAATACAATTTAAACCTTGGGCCTTCCCTTTGAGATAGTTCCTTATTGCTTATATAACAGATGGAGATCTAGAAAGAGGTTTGAGTCAATTTCTTTGGATACATACGCCCAAATTTTAGTACAGAAATCAATATTTAAAACATTGTGTAGGACCTATTTCCTACTGCTGTGTTATACAGCCAGAGTACCTAAATGCTTTCAGGGAACATTTGCATCAACATTGGTATTTATAGACTTCATTGAATCCTCTCACAGTCGCCCTTATTCCAGACTCGAATTTCTAGCTAAACTAGGATTTATATTTTTAATTTATTTTTTGAGTGCCCCCCCCCTCCCCCCCTTTTTTTTTTTTTTCTTACAGTTAGTTATTTTGGGTGAGGCTGGAAATGTAATAAATTGTGGGGTATAGTAGCAAAAAGAAAGTTAGACTATGGATTCATTAGGTCTAACAGGAGCTGGTTATATGCTGACTTGATTTGCACACATTTGTTCTGCAGCCTGTGATGTGTACTTTCCTGCTTCTGAAGATTTCAGAGATGTTCAGAATCTTAGAACAATTCCACCACATACCTGTTGTCTAAAGAAGGATTTGAAAATGCTGTCTGTCCAGATCCCTCAATACAAAACTCACTGTTGTGCTTTCTTTGTATTAATTAGCACAAACATTTAGATCCTGATACTGGAAATATTTGGAGAGATTGTGGAGTTTATGCACTAAAGAAGTGCCCTACTTGACTGAAGAATAGACATAAGAATGTTCATGATTAGGGCCTAATTCGATACTCAGTTAAATATATTAAGTAATATAACAACACAGAACTGAATTAACTGGTACCAATTCCCTCTCCAATGAAATGTGTTAATATTTTAAACCAAAACTCCAATCGTATAATCAATACCTAGTATAATAACCTGTTTATCTTTTCTGTAATGAATTGTTATAGGTCATAAATAACCACACAATCTTCTCTAGACATTTTAAATTATAAGTAATTTACATGAAACCTGTTATTGTTTAATAAGTATGTGCCTAGCTGGTGCCTCATAGTGGCATTCATCTGAAAGGTGTCCTAAGTGATAATGCTGCCAAAAAGAATTTATCAGTGCAACTGTTTCCTGAGGGAGTAATAAAAAATAACAGATTGTTAGAGGGGTGAAAAAAAAGCAAATAAAATGAAATAAAATGGCAGTTACTACAAGAGGAAAGAATAAATTGCAGGCCAACAAACAAAGATGTTCTCATTGAATGCTTATTTCAGAGGCTTGCTTTGGTTTCTTGTGCCCTCTGGAAAATGGAAAGATAAGTTGTGATTAGTTGCCAGATCCCTCTAGCAGAATGTTAAGGGATGTCATTATCATAGCTAGCGAGGGGGCAATGTGTGGCTGTCCCATCCAGCTGCCTCTGACTCTCCAGTCCTCCTTTCAGACCTCTCACTCTCATATAACTCATGTTTTTTCACTGTCCAGTGTTTTGATCAGGCAGACTTTGAGAACTCTGGATTTTGCTGGGATCTCAGAAGAGCTTGGCAGAGCCACAGCTCTGAGCTGTCAGATGTCTGAGACGTCCATTAGCATCATTCATTATTCATGCAGCAAATTTTACTGTGTTTGAGCAGCAGGCCTGATTATTGGCTGACGGTAAAAGAAAAACAAAAACAAATGACTTATTGCATGGCTCAAGGTTAAATTCTGTCATTAAGACGGCACTGTAAAAGAATGTTGAATGAACTGAAGAATGGATCTCTTCCATCCTTCATCCCAGGAACTTCCCCTGCAACGTTTGAAATAACGCCATGGGAAGATGTCACTAAACAAAGATGGAGGTTTTCTTCCCATGTAAGGTAAGAAAGATTAGAATGGATTTGACTTATAATAGCCTGTGAATAATAAATTCTGGGCACAGACA